TACAATATACTGGTGACAGAGACGGTCCATATGAACTGAGAGCAAAGAAGTTTACAAAACCAATAGCACTTTTCACGGAAGATGCTCTTTTGAAGATTCGTTCGATGAAACCTGCTGGGGCTCCTCAGATTGGCATAACGACAGCTTCCATCGAGCAGATTTTGGCAGCAGGTCAGTAAGTTGTTCTTGAACTGACTTCTCTCCGTCAAATATTGACAGTACGCCAGTTTGACATAAAATTGTATTATAAACTTTCCTTTAGAAATATCTGTAAGTTTTGTTGTTATATTTTTGTCTGCTTCAAGAACTTTCACCATTTCAGTTATACCAACTTTCTTTGCTTTATGAAAATATTTTGGTTCAGCAAAGACTGCTATTCTATAACATTTACCATTGTTTGTATAAAGAACTATTCTGTCAATGTATTTGTATTGTTTGTGTGTGTAAACTTTGTTTTGCTTCAATTCGAAGAGATACTCAAATACGTCCATCTTTTTATTCTAAGTAAAATGTCATTTCCGAAAAATAGAAGCGTAAGTGTTTCAAAAGGTTTAATGGCGGTGGCAGATGTGAAGTTAAATTCACCAACTCAAACAAACAGTCAAAGTGTTATTGTCAATGTCAAAGAAAGAGATGTTGAAGTGGGGAAACCATACGAAGACGAAGATGGTATAACAATAGTTCCTGTAAAAGAACAACCAACATATCCTGAAGTTAGCAGAGACTTAAGTTCTGTTGCAGATATTCGAAATGACTACATGCAACTGAAAGACAAACTTAAAACTCAGGAGAAGATTTGTCAAGCTTTAGGTATAATGTTAAACTTGGTCGAACACAACCCTGTAAAAGTGAACTCATATGTCATTGCACCTCATGAAGTTTTGAAAGAACTATTGAAACTTTTGACAGAGGCAGACGATATAAACATCAAAGAAATAGAACCCGACGTTAGTTGCTGTGGTGTTTCATATAATGTCATTGACAAGATATACGTTATGAAAGGAGGTGAAACGTTGAACTTAAAATATAGTTTCCCAGACGTTATAAAAATATTTGACGACCACAACATTTCATTAAAATTTATTTGCTAAGTAAAATGGCAGAAGACACAATGGTTTATACTATTACGACTAAAAACCCTGAGTCATATAATTCTATAACAACAAACTTACAAAGTCCTCAAGGACGATATTGTAAACTAACCTTAAACACAATGACGACTAAAGCTTGTTTTGCTCTTTTGACACCAGAAGATTTTATTGTTGTGAATGGTAAAAAATACTCCTTTGAAGATACTTACTCAGATATACCACCAACAGGTTTTGTTGACTTATTTAATACTTTAAGGACGGATGTAACATGTGCTGCAACTAGAGCAGGTTTCATTATGTTTGGATGTCCGACTGAGTTTACTATAAACAATATGAGCTATAATACAAAACTTATATCTGGTTTTTACTACCAACAGTTTCCTATAACAGGAAAAGGTGTCATACAAGGAATGTCTATTCCATTGACATTAAGCACACCAATCTTATATATTGTTTCAAACTTAGGTTCAAAGTGTTATTCGAATGTCGACAGAAACTATTATGACCAAAAGATACTTATGCGTATAAACAACACTTTCTCTGCTGGTTTGCCTATTGTTCATTCGAATGCAGAATTTTCAACCTTAGTGAACTCAAACACTTTGGCAAGTATAACGTTGACATTAGTTGACGCAAACTTTGTTCCTGTAAAACTTTTATGTCCTATGTATTTGTCAATGACGGCAGAAAGTTTCGAATTGGAAGATGCAACTGGTGAAAGTATTGTATTACAAGAACAACTTCAACAACAAATAGCTCAAGAACAACAAATGCAACAACAAATAGCTCAAGAATAAAAAAATATTTTTTTTTATTTTTATAAAAATGTACAGAATAGATGTTTCAGATTTTTATGACTTCCAAGCCTTCAGAAATATGTGTCCATTTCGAGACTATAACAAAGCAGTCGAGAATTTGAAACGTTTAGTCATTTATGTTGACTCTGCCCCAGAATGTTATGTCATGAAAGAATGGGATGTTGTCTTTAACAAACCAAGAGCGACAATAGTTTCAGAACAAGAATGTAGACAGAAACTTAAGAAAATAAAAGTTGTACAAGTTGGCATGAAGATGTTAGATGCTTGGGATATCTTATTGTCAAAGTTAGAAGATTTTTCAGTTCGAGGTATAAAGTTCTATACACCTTCTCCAAACTTCTATTCTATCTTCACTGGATATAAATACGAACAAGTAGAATGGAAAGAAAATATTATAGAAGCTTGGTTAGACCATGTCAAAGAAATTATATGCAATGGAAACGAAAAGGTTTATGAGTATATCTTATGTTGGTTTGCAAACATCTTACAACATCCAAGTGCTAAAAATGAAACTGCTCTCATTATAATTGGAAAACAAGGAACTGGTAAGAACACATTCTTTACAGATATCTTATGCAAACTGTTAGAAGGTTATTCGAATCCGAATATGACAAACTTAGAAAACATCTGCGGTAAATTTAACTCCTCAATAGAGAATATGAAACTTATAGTTTGCAATGAACTTCAAAGTATAGATACAACAAAAGTTTTGAACTCAGATGCTTTGAAGAGTCTTATAACAGACAAAGTTGGAGTTGTTGAAAGAAAATATAAAGACCAAAGAGTTTGTGAAAATGTTGCAAACTTCGTTATGGTTTCAAACAATGTTGTTCCGATGAAGTTAGAAAGTTCTGACAGAAGATATGTAGTTGTCAGAACGTCAGAAGCTCATATGCAAGATACAGAATATTTTGACGACTTAGCAGAAACTTTGACATCTGACTTTTACAACCACTTGTTCTCATATTTTATGACATTAGATATTTCTAAGTTCAATCCAAGACAAATTCCACATACAGAAGAGAGACAAACATTGTTAGAAGCAAACAAGAGTGTATATGAACTGTTCATAGAAGAAAGCAACTTTGAGTGTTTAGATGAAAGGTCATTGTACGATTCGTATAAACAATATTGTCAAGAATATGGTTATATGGCAGCTTCTAAACGTACATTCTTGGCAAATGTCAAAAATCTTTTAGATGTTCAGAATGGTGTATATACAAAGAAAAATTTTTCTGAGTAAATTTAAAAAAAATATTTTTTTATCCGATAGAAAAGATGGCAAAATTCATCTCAGTAAATAAGTACATGACAGAAGTCAAAGATAAGTTAGCTCCATTCGCATATTTGAATGTTTACTTCTACCATTTTGAAAAGTCTTCATTTGACAAAGTTTGGAACATCGAACCAGTTAAGTTTGCTATTGTGACTAAAAATGGTGCGAAATTTGAAGACTTAGACATAGAAGGTTTGTTAGCAGTCAAAGAAAGTTTTGACAGAAGGTTCTCAAAACTCGAAGAAGGTAAAGCATACAAACTTGTTATACCTTATGAACCAAAGAAAGCAGACGACTATGAATATTATGAGTCTAAAGTTGTAGAAGTTCAAGGTAAATTGGGTAAAAAGATTTTAGAGTCTAAGCCAGTGTTTACTCCTAAAGAGGAAGAGAACATTGACATTGACCCAGAAATGTTCTAAAAATAAAATTTTATTTTTACATGTCATATCTCACCTTCTCTGGAACTGGTTCAGGTTCTTTCTTCTCTTCTACTTTTTTCTCTTTCTTTCCTTTCTTCTTCTTTTCTGGTGGTGAGACGTCAAATTTCTCAGAACCATATTTCTGTAAAAGTTCTTTGTCCTTTAATAGCTCTTCTATTCTGTTTTCTATTTCATCTTCAAGAACAGCGCATGTGTCTTCTTTGCATTCTAAGAATTTTTGTTGGACTTCATCTCTCCAAGAGGCGTCATCTCTGTCAACAAGTCTGTCATTGACAAATTTTAAGACTTCTCTGCTTAATGTTTTATGGTTCTTGTCATATTCCCAGAAACAGAACTTTAGAACAAATTCACCTTTCTTGTTTACACTATGTAAGATTTTATGGTCGACAGATGTTTTGCTGTCGAAAAGCTTGTCTCGAATATAGATAGCGAAATCGCTAGACATTTTCTAAAAGATAAAAATTTTAATTTTTCTAAAAATATGTTAGAAAAAAAGTTTGCTGACATTGACAAAAAATTTGAGAATGTTTTGAAGAAGAACAAGAGGAAGTTAGAAAATGCTCAGATAAAACCCATACATGACAAGTTCTTATTTGCTCAGAATGGTATAACAGGTCTAATTGCACCACCTGGGTCGGGTAAGACTTTCACTTATCTTAAAATGGCTGCACAACAACAAGAACTAGATGAGAAGAACCCATTCTATGAGTTAGTTGTCATTTGTAGTACTTCTGGTCAATTTGACCAAACCGTCAATTCGTTCAAAGATATTATAAAGAAGTCTAAGTTAGTATGTATAAAAGACTCTGAGTTGTTAGATTGGATAAAGAAGTACCAAAGAAGAGTTTTGAAGTACAATGCTATAAATGAGTATATAAATTCGAAGTTTAAAGACCCAAATGAGGAAATGCAGAGAATATTAGAGAAGAAACACTTCAGAAACAAACAGAAAGAGATAGAATACATTTCGAAGAAATTGCAATCTTACGATTGGAAGACATACCCTCATAGGTGTCTTCTTATCTTAGATGACTTTGCTTCTCATCCTTTGTTAAAGAATAGAGAACAAGACATGTGTCGAATTCTTAAGAAGCTCAGACACTTTAACATCTCAGTTGTCATTTGTGTACAGACAGCAAAGAGTTTAAGTAAGGATGTAAAGAGAATACTTACTGACATAATACTTTTCCCTGGATTGTCCGAAGACGATTTCATGGAACTTATGAAAGAGTCCATGGCAGGTAAGTTTGACAGACATGAACTATGGGAGAAGTACAAAGTCATACAAGACCCTCATACTTCTTTCAGAATTCATATCTACGCGAACAAAGTTCAAATTGTAAAAAGTCAAGCGTAAAAATAAAGAGTTCATTTACTCTGCTTGTTTGAAGTTGTCAAAATACTCTGTTATTTTTTCCTTTAACAATGACAAATCTTCTTTGAATGTAAGAATTGTACAACCTTTAATATCATAGTGTGTTTGAGGTAACGTATCTTGAACTATTTGTTTCACATCTTCATTTGGGGTCATTGAAATCGGTAAGTTTTCGCGATAGAACCAATTTCTGTCAGATTTGTAAATCTTAGCAAGGTCGTAAAAGCTTTTGTTGTTTCTTCTGACTAAATGCAACATAACCATATCTTTATCTTCTTCATTTTCCATCTCTTCAGTATAAATCATATACTTATAGTTCTTTTCCTTTCCTTTTGGTACCGAACGTGGTATTCTTTTCTGAATGCTTTTGTCTTTTGCTTCAAGCTTGTTTTCCATCTCTTCACGTTCTTGTCTATGAATTTCGTCAAGAAGTCTGTAAATATACCAAGCATAACGAGGCGAAGCCCACATTGCAACAGCATTTACAAGAAGTCTATGTACATAATATCCTCTCAAACCGTTTGGCAATTTTTCACGATTTTCGTACGGAATCTCTTCTCTCGGTTTTTCGAGGAACGCAATCATATGAGGAAATTCTTCTAAAAGTTCTTTTGTCTGTTGGTTTTCAAACCAATGATATGCTTGCTTTGTAGAACGAAGAGCGTTCATTATACTTTGCATTTGGTACATATCGTCTTTGACCGAACGAATGAGACGGAGTTGTTTGTTATATTGTATGTACTCATATTCTTCATTTATAGCTTCATGGACTATAACTGTTGTTGTGTTCTCTGTTGTTGACATTACTGTCTTTACATACAAAATAAAAAAATAAATAAAAATAAAACTAACTTTATTTTTCTAACTAAGGAAATTCATGATTTTTGTGCTGAATTCAGCAAAAATATAATTTAGGTGAAGAGGTGAGATTTCACCTCTTTTTTCACCTAATTTTTCACCTCTTTTTTCACAAACGTTTTGCATGGTAAACGTTATTTTTTAAATTTTGTGAAAACTCAACGGTTTGACACATGCCCTAAAAATTATTTTACTCAGAATTTTGTTGCTGAATTCAATAAAAATATATTTTAGGTGAAGAGGTGAGATTTCACCTCTTTTTTCACCTAATTTTTCACCCCAGTTATTTTATAAGCGTTTTACATGAATTGTACGATGTATATTTGAAATCCTAAACAATTTCGTAGCTTCTATTTCTTCTTTTAGTACATCGAATGTTTTAACGATACCGAAAGTTTCTTTATACTTCTTCTTGACATCAGATAGAAGGAAATCGTCTGCTGTTGGATAGTTTTTGTTCAGAAATTCTAACATGTCCATTTTATTTTCTGCTGGCTTTTCTGCTTCTTTCTTTAAATCTGCATAGTCGTTTCTCATTCTTTCTATCTCTTTGACGGAGTAGTTATATTTCCTAATTGCTGCTTTACATTTAGAACATTGCGGGTTCATTTTTGCGTTATATTCTGAAACCTTACCTGCTAAAACAACCAAGGCGTCAATGGTTTTCTTCATCTCAAACATAGCGGGTCTTATCTGTTCGTTCCATACCTTACCTCTTCTATCTTTATCTCTTATCTGCCATACACATTCTGCAACTAATGAAACAAAGTTGTCGTAGGTCTTAAATTCTTCAGATTTGTAAAGGTCAGAAACATTCTTATATACCATGTCGCAATCTTTGTCCATAACTTTATGGTTGCAATGAAAACCAAGGAATTCATAATTTACCTTTCGTATGAACTTCTTTATTTCTACCGAGTCAGTTGCTTTGACTTCAATTTCGTCAAATTCGGGAATGGTTAGTTTTTGTTGTTGGATTTCAGGCAATTTGGGTAAATGGTCAATAATGTCCTGCATTTCATAAAGATACTGTTCATTTGTTTCATCTTTCGCACTACAGTCTAAATTACTTGTTAACAGTTCTTGCTTTATCTTCTGGATTTTTGTTTCGAAAGTATATGAAGAAGGAATAAAGCTTTTCATCTCTACCAACATTGACGTAGGATTCATAACTAGCGAGTTTGGTGCTGTAGTTGTTTGAATTGTTGTTGTGCCGATTGTTGACATTTCTGTTCTTTTATACAAAATAAAAAAATAAATAAAAATAAAACTAACTTTATTTTTTCTATCTTAAGGAAATTCATGAAAATTCACGAGGGTGAAAAAACAGGTGAAAAAAGAGGTGAAATCTCACCTCTTCACCTAAACATTATTTTTACTGAATTCAGCAACAAAATTCAAATTGTAAAAAGTCAAGCTTGAAAAATGTAAGTGTTTAGTCTTAGTAAGATGGTAGCTTCTTAAAGCAAATACCATTGCTGAGTTTTATGTACGTGAAGAGAAGTACAATGAATTCAATTACGAGTACAATTGCAATGACAACTAAGGCAACTATTTTTGTCTTTTGCCAGCAAGAGTACTTCTTCTCTTCCAATGGTTCGGCAGAACTATACTCACTCATGAGAAATGCCAAAACGGTTTAATAGAAAAAGTGTTATTTTTTCATGTCCGAAGACTCGAAGGTGCAACACTTCCAAAATACCGACGAACTCAGAAGAGCAGCATGGCAGTATGTTCTTGACAACTTCTTTGAGTTCTCCAGGGACACCTTGGAAAATGCTGAAGAACTCCGACACAGAGAATTTGGAGAAATTGCACTCCAATACTACCTTGACAAACAAAGGGTAAACAAAGGGTAAAATAAGACTAAAAACTTAACGTTTAAAAAGTGACATTTTTATGAGCTCCGAGTCACCGAGAAAACTTGGTCAGATGTTAGCAGCTTACTTCCCTGAGGAGGATGGAAGCGTTACATACGTAAGGTTCAAAAACAACGAACCTGGAATTGCGTACCAAATTCGCAATTACATGACCATGGAAGAGTACGAAAGGTTCCTACAAGAGAAACCAGCTCTAAACAACTCAGAAAAGAAAGAATAAAAAGTTTAACTCGTAATTGTTTATTTTTTTACTTGTATGGGCAAGCTGCAAGAATGAAGTCGACTATCTCGGTCTTTGTCTTGACCAGTTGGACGGCTCTTGCGAGTACGTCTGTTTTGCGGTCTCCAGCTGGTGTCTGACCTTCGTAATTGCGCATGTTCTTGAGAGCTCCAACTGTAAATGGTTGTAGGATGAAGAGTCTCTCAGACTGCTTGAGGTAGTCTTCACGGTCACGAACCGAATCTGTGGTACGAGTCGAATCGGTCGATTTGAGGGAAGAGACTGAAAGCCTGTCATCTTCCATTGGAGCTGTAGCATACTCTTTGCGTAAGCGGTTCAGACCTTCTTCGAACTCTTGGTCTCTCTTCGATTGGGATTGAGATTGGAATTGCTGGGGTGGAGCTTGCTGGAACATCCAAGGGTTGGGGAAGTAAGGCATAGGCTGAGGAGGGTAGTTCGGGAAGCCTTGTAGTGGAAATTGGTAGTAACCTTGAGGTGGAAATTGGTAGTAATTTGGTGGAGGGACTTGCTGGAACTGAGGTGCAGGGGCTGGTGCTTTCGGTTCTTCTGGCTTGGGAATGGGCTCGGTTGGTGGGACGTCGGACATTCGTTTGTGGCTTAACCGTCGGACCACAACGATAAAAATCTCTGCTACTAGCAGTACTGCTACTGACAGTAGCAGTACTTTTACTGACAGTAGCAGTACTTTTTCTGACAGTAGCAGTACTTTTACTGACAGTAGCAGTACTTTTTCTGACAGTAGCAGTACTTTTACTGACAGTAGCAGTACTTTTTCTGACAGTAGCAGTACTTTTACTGACAGTAGCAGTACTTTATCGTCGAAAACCCTCTCAAATTTTCCTTTTTACTGCAACTAGCAGTACTTTTACTGACAGTAGCAGTACTTTTACTGACAGTAGCAGTACTTTTACTGACAGTAGCAGTACTTTTACTGACAGTAGCAGTACTTTTTTCTGACAGTAGCAGTACTTTTTCTGACAGTAGCAATGGTCGAGGTCGAACCTACCGACGAGGCAATTTACCTAATTGAAATTAACGAGCTTGTTAAAGACTTCCTCAGGCAGAATGTAAAAGGCAAGCTTGTTAGCGGTTGGATAACGGGAAGGGCTGCCTTGAATCTCGAGACTTCGACTGGAATTCCAATTCAAATACCAGACGGGACAGCCTACGACGACATAAAGCAAGCAAAGAAGGAAGCTCTTCTCAAGTTCTTTGCCAAGCGTCCTTGGATACAACTTCCAAACAGAGAGAACCCTTTCCCAAGAATGAACCAAATTCTCAAGGGTCTCCTTCACTTCTCGGGTCAGCCGTTCTACATAACCTGTGAAGGCGACATCCAACCAGTTCAGTAAACCTTAACGTTTAGAGTAAAAACATTTTTTTTCATTTTTTGAATGAAGCAAGTTAAATTCGTCCCACACCAATCTCAATGGACCGATGAAGAGTTTCAAGCCATAGTTGAAGGCGTTGAGAACGACATAGACGGCGAACTTGAAGGAGCTCAAACCACAATTGCAACCAAAATTGCACAAGTCAAAGAAGAGATAGCTCCACTTAAAGCTACCAAAGCTACTCTTGACCTCATGGATACTTACCGTTTAGATGTCAAGAGAGGAATAAGACAATTAAAATTAAAACTCTTAAATTACGAAGCTATACTCCAGAAGTTAGCAGAAATGAGAAGACTTTACCAGAGCTACTTACATGTAAGGGACTTACCTTCAAGCAGTCCGACCAAAGATGAATTTTCTGACATTGTCCCAATTTTGTCCGAAAGTCAGCTCAGATGTTTTGAACTGCTCCCAACATATCCAGAATATGAAAATTTGCCTGAACTCTTCCGCAATCTTAAAAAACGTTTTTTGGTTCTCATGTTCGAAACTTTTATCGGAAGAGACAACAAACGTTCAGAAGAAGAACAAGATATTATTTTAAACTTGTTGTATGACTTAACCGTCATAACAAGCTTTTTGAAGTAAAACCGTCATTCTCAAACCACTTCATTTTTTCGATGTCCGAACAAGCACCGAAGCCGAACACAATGGCAGATGTCCTTTCAAGGTTGCCAGACAATCGCCCAGTTCAAATTCAAATTATGAATTTGAAAGCTCATCTGACAAACACCATTAAGACTCTCCAAAGTAGTCTTATGACAGAGATGACCAAACTTAAAGGTGAGTTCCTCATGAACCAAGTTTCCAATGAGAAAGTCCTGAACGATTTCTCAGAATCGTTGCGCTATTACGGGAGAGAGAACCGAGACCTTGCCAGACTCATCTACCGTTTCTTCGAAGAGATAGACGCCATCTGGAAGGTACTCGGAAAGGACAGAACATGCAACACCGTACTTCGTGAACACAGAATTGCCGAAGGTATTATCAAAGAAGAGGAAGAAGAGGAAGAAGAGGAAGAAGAGGAAGAAGAGAAAGAAGAGAAACACGAAGAAGAGGAAGTTTGGGCAACCCTTGTTGCCGATGACAGTTATGAAATTTCCCAACCCTACCCATACCAAATCCGCAACAAGGAGACAGGCAAGGTTCTTACCCCAGTCCTCAACAACTTGGGACACTTGAACCTTAACCTTCGGAATCGCGGTTCAATCTCCATGGGCAAGCTTGTCGCAATTCAATGGGTTCCAAATCCAGGCAAGAAGACGAAGGTCAGACACATTGACGGTGACAAGCTCAACAACCGTAAGGAGAACCTCGAGTGGTTCTAAGAGTAAAAAAATTTTATTTTAGGGGGAAACCCCAAGTAAATTTAGGTGTTTATTTGGATAAGTATGTTAAATTAAGGGCAATTTGCAAAATTAGTTCCCGACCTTT